ACCGCCCCTCTTCCTGATGAAATTCACGCGTAACACGAATCTGCAATCAAAGGGGCTTTCAAGGCCCAGGTGAAATTTGAGCGGCTTCCACAGTTCTGCTTTCTTTGCGGGATCATTGGCCACCCAGGCCACCACTGCCCAAAGAGGGAGGAGTTTGGAGACCAGACCCCCCGGTATGGGAGATTCACACTGAGCCGGGAAAAAGGTCCGAGGCTGAACGAGCAAACGCTGGTGCAGAAGTGGAAATTCACCTGGTTTCGCTCCCCAGATCAGAGGAAGGAGACTGTTGGCAGTTGGGGTTTGGCATCCCAGCAAGCGGGCGCGCTAGTGGTTAACGCCCGGATGAAGCAGCTTGTCATCACCGCCGGTGATAGCAGCTCTGCTCAGATGAAGTCCAAGGAGAACAGTGTCGAGCCTCCTGCTACAGATGGGTTGGTCCCAGAGGAAGGGGAAGTGGCGGAGCTTGTTGAGCCAGTGGCAAAGCGTCCGCGTACAGAGAACAAGGGTACTGCTAGCCCGGATGCAGGGCAGTTGAGGGTGGAGGTGACCAGCCCGGATTGGTCCCCGGAGACCAAATGAGTGTTCTGGCGTGGAATTGTCGGGGACTGGGATCCCTCCTGACAATTCCCTCGCTAAGGGATGCCCTCCGTCGTCACTTGCCCTTTCTCATCCTGCTCAGCGAAACGAAGCGAGATGATGAGTTTGTTGAGGGTCAGCTTAGGAGTCTAGGTTTTAAACATTTTCAAGCTTTTTAGGGTCGCAGTAGAGGGGGGATTTGGCAGTAGCCGGTCGGATCTGGTTACCTGTACAATGTCATCTCCTAACCCCTCTTATCTTATTGTTGACTGCTTACATCCAAATTTAGGTAGATTTGCTGTGATCTTTGTCCATCTTAGCTGTGCTGTAAATATTAGGGAGGATCAACTAAATGAAATCAGTTTGTTTGTCTCGTCGAGCGATTTGCCTTCGCTCGTGTTGGGTGATTTCAATTGCTTGCTCTCGTCTGCTGAAAAACAGGGAGGGCGACCACCCACCCCCCCCCCCCCCTAACTGCATTTGACCAACTTCATAATTTCTTGCTTGCTACTAATTTTACTAATTTGGGTTGTGTTGGTGTCCTCTTCACTTGGTCTAATCGGCAATCAGGTACTCGACATATCCTGGAACGGCTCGATAGATGTTTGGCTAACCCTCTGGCTTTGTCCTCGTGGCCTGAATTGCAGGTTCGTCACCTAACGGACCTCGGCTCCGATCACAGGATGATGCTGCTGCAATTTGTGAAGCCAGCAACCCGCAGCGGGAGACGATTTCATTACGACATGAGATGGGACACAAATCCGGAAGTGCCAGACATTTTCCAGCAGGCTTGGTCCAAGGAAGTTAGGGGGACTTTGCAATTCAAGCTTCAATCTTGGCTGAAGAACTTGCGTCACGGGCTAGTGGAGTGGGCTCGCAATGGAACGCCTAATTCATCTCGGCAGATTAAAGGCCTTAAGGAGAGCATTGAGCTGGCCAAGGAGGCTTCAAGTGCGCAATGGGAACACATTAAAGACTTGGAAGTACAGCGAGGAGAAGCTTTTAAGGAAGAAGAGCGGTATTGGATGCAAAAGTCCCGGGTTCGGTGGCTGCGAACTGGGGATGCGAATTCACACTTCTTCCATCTCACTACACAGCATCGGAGAAGAACAAACTCCATTCTCACTCTGAAAGATGAGCAAGGGGTGCAACATTCCAATGAAGACGAGAAGGGTGGGATTGCAGTTGATTATTATAAAGTACTCTTCACCTCCACTAGCAACGATCCAAACGACTATGTCGGGCAACTCCAGTTACCTCACAGCGCCAGTGTCGTACGAGGAGATCCGCAAGGCGGTGTTCGCCATTGAAAAGTCCCAAGCACCCGGTTCAGATGGATTTACCGGAGCTTTCTACCAGAGGTTTTGGCCTGAGATTGAATGTGACGTTTGAGAGGCAGTCCTGTCCTTCTTCAACACTGGGCGTCTTCTCCAAAGCATCAACCATACATGGATCGCCTTGATCCCTAAGGTGCCTCATGCGGATTCGATGAAGCAAATGAGGCCCATCAGCTTGTGTCAGGTTTTGTATAAAATAATTGCTAAGATCCTTGCTGGCCGTTTAAGCTCTCTTCTTCCTAACATTATGAGTTCGTACCAGAATGGATTTGTCAAAGGTCGATCTATTACTGATAACATTTTGATTGGCCAAGAGATTATGCAGTTTCTTAAAACGAAAACGCAAGGAAAGGAGAAGTGGATGACACTCAAGCTTGACATGGAGAAGGCGTACGACCGTGTTGAGTGGAACTTTTTGCTTGCTGTCCTGGAGGCGATGGGATTCTCTCGTACCTGGCTCAAGTGGATCCATTCCTGCATAACCACAGTGCACTTCTCAGTCCTCATGAACGGTGTTGAGTACGGCTACTTCCAACCCCAGCAGGGAATCCGGCAAGGTGACCCTCTCTCCCCCCTGTTGTTTGCTCTCCACTCCGAAGCCTTTTCTGCTCGGATTCTCTCTGAGATTTCAGCTTCTGAACTCCATGGCTTGCGTGTACATAGGATGGCGCCCATCACTTCGCACCTTCTTTTTGCTGATGACACCTATCTTTTTCACCGTGCTTCCCGGCCAGAGTGTGCTAACCTCCTGCATATGTTTGCTGATTATGAATCTATGAGCGGTTAGAAAGTTAATTTGCACAAGTCCTCTTTGTGTGTCAGTAGTAATGTGACTGAGTTGGAATTTAATGAGCTTACTGACTTCTTGGGAGTTGCTAAGATGGGAGTAGGTGACAAATACCTGGGGCTTCCATCACAAGTCCTTCGTTCTAAGACCCTTACATTTCGGTTTGTGGAGGAGGCCTTAGCGGCTAGAATCCGAAGCTGGAAAGCAAAATCTTTGTCTCTTGCAGGGAAAGAAGTGGTTATTAAAGCGGTTGGGGCTGCAGGGCCGGTGTACACGATGTCGGCCTTCCGACTCCCGGTATCCACCTGTCGGCGGTGCAATAGCCTGCTGTCCAGATTCTGGTGGGCAGGACAAGACAAGGAAAATGGCATTAGATGGCTTTCATGGACTGCAGCCTGCCAAAGCAAGTTTGAAGGAGGCCTGGGATTTCGAGATTTCGACCGGTTCAATGTTGCCTTGCTCGCCAAACAGGCGTGGCGCCTTCTCATGAACCCGGACAGCACCCTAAGTCAGCTGTACAAGGCCCGATATCACCCAAATTCTCAATTTCTAGAAGCAGGCAAGGGTTCTCGGCCCTCCTGGGCTTGGCAAGGGATCTTGGAAGGGCGGGACTTGCTTGTTCGTGGACTGCATTGGCATATCGGGTCAGGGACCCTAGTCCGAGTATTAGAAGATGTCTGGCTACCCACCTCTCCGCCGTCCTCGCCTGTGTTACTACACGGAGTGTCAGCTGCCCCAAGGAAAGTGGCTGAACTTATTTGTGTTGAGTCAAGGACATGGAAGACGGAGCTCCTCCACAACCTATTTGAACCGGAATCGGTCCAAGCTATCCTTAGCATACCCTTGGGCACTCATCTGTCGGCTGACCGAATGGTCTGGCATTACTCGACCACAGGGGAGTACACGGTGAAGTCTGGGTACCATGTTCTAACTAATGAACTAAATGCTCTTCATCCTCCGGTTGATCTACCTTTTGACTGCAGGTTCTGGAAGCTCCTGTGGAACCTGCCGGTGCCCCCGAAACTTAAGGTGTTCTTTTGGAGAGTGCTGCTTCCTTCCTCTGCAAACAGTACTCCTGTTCAAGAAACTTGTAGATTCATCCACCTGTCCGGTGTGCACAGAAGGGCCGGAGACATTCACCCATTGCTTCTTCCAATGTCGGGTGGTGCGCGAGTTATGGCGCATGGCGGGATTTGAGCAGATCCGGTCCCGACTAGAAGCTCTCAATCCGGAGGAGGCCTGGAAGGATCTATTCTTTTCTTTGCATTTGTCTAAGCTGCAGGTCTCTGACATTGTGTTCCTCTGCTGGCGGGTTTGGAAGGCGCGCTGCTGGGCTGTACATGGAGGTATCCAATATCTAGCTCCCACACTATTTAGGCAGTATCGGAATCAAGTTGAGGAATGGCGGGCTGCTAGCTTGCCTGGTCAGCCGTTGCAAAGAGAGAATCAGACCGGCGCTAGGGGACGGCCAGGTCCTGCTGCCTGAGTTCCTTATAGTGCCATAACTGTCCGTGTCGATGGAGCGATCAAACGTGTGCGCGGTGGCAGCATAGGATTTGCAGGTTTTGATCTGAATGGTAGTCTGCTAATGGCGTTCGGTAAGTACTACGAGGGTATCCAAGATCCTTTTCTTGTGGAACTTTTAGGCTTGCGGGATGCAATGAATTGGTGTCTGACTCATGGATTTTTGCATGTAAAATTATATGGTGACGCGCTAATGGTGGTCCGTCGAGTGCTGGATCGGGACTGTCGGCACGCGTTGGGAGGAGCTATCCTTGAAGATGTACAGCAGCTTGCAGAGAGTTTTGAGTTTTGTTCTTGTTCCTATGCTAATCGCAGGTTTAACAGGGCCGACCATCTTGTGGCAAAACAAGCCCTTTCATCGGAAGTTCGACTACTTGTCGACTTCCGCGTGTGGTTGCTCTATGTTCTCTGACTATATGACTGAACGTTTTTCGTTTGTCTATGTTAAAAAAAAATTAATATCCAATGTATCTAATCATATATAAAAACATATTTGTGGACAATTTAGTTACAATCCAACAAATATCATCAACTTTTAACTATTACATTCATAAAATGAATAATAAATTAATTTTTTTATTCATTAGATTCATTAAAATGATGTCATTTTACTTAGAATGGTTAAGTCGATCATACCGGTCATACCGGTGGTGTCATGCCGGTTTCATGACCGGCACAGGTTGAACCAGGTTGAACCGGGTGGCATGCCACCGGCATGACAACCATGATTTAAATAGATCGGATTAATTTGATATTTAAGTGGATGCGTTGAATATTGGTGGATTGAAAATTGCCATGCACAAAATTATGTGCTTGACTACTTGGTAGACAGAGTTTTACAGTTGTTTGCGCCCTTAACTCAATTGGAACTAATTAAACCAAATCACGAAAACAGGGCCGTGGAAGAAGAACATAATAGCTTTAATGAAGTCCAATCTAAGTTTCCTCCTGCCTCTCGTTTCACCGGAGAGGACGATTCACGATCTTACTCTGCCTGAACAGCTTGCTTGCTTGCCTCTGAGTTTATCGACTCTGAAATTCCTATTTAGCGATTCCTTCTACCACTACGTCGCTTGGAAGAGACCAACGTCCACCCATCACCATCATCTATTTTCTGAGGAACTACTGGAGAATCCACCATCATCATATTATCATCTCCACCACTTCCCGACGACGAAGCATCATCATCCACCATCATCCTATTTAGCGATTCCTTCTACCACTACGTCGCTTGGAAGAGACCAACGTCCACCCATCACCATCATCTATTTTCTGAGGAACTACTGGAGAATCCACCATCATCATATTATCATCTCCACCACTTCCCGACGACGAAGCATCATCATCATCATCAAGGTCATCATCCTATTACAAAAATCACAGAAAGGAGCCACTATCACAGCTGCAGCAGACCAACATAACAATTCGTATTAAGAGAAAGAGGATGCTTTCTTGATTTTCTTACCTGTCTGATAATGTATTGACGAGATGATGTTCTACAAGGCTCAGCAGCAGCCCTTCTCAACTTCTCAACAGAGCTATAGTTCCCTTCCATACATTCCTCGTGCATAATCATCATTTTCTCTGCTACCTGTTTAATTTTCAGCAGAGCAGGACTAATACTGAACATGAATGGGGTAGATCGGAACAGGTATAGAACAACTAGTAATGGAAAATAAACCCCTTTGCCTTTGGTTTCGAAGACATTCTTTTAAAACAAAACAAAAAAAAAAGGCAATCAACAATCAGTACCATAGAAATTGCCCCATCAATTTCAAATCAGAAAGTGTTACCTCCTCAATTTCAACGCCATCATCATTCATGTCGATGTGGAGATGAGCATACATGGTTTCGTCGAGAATGTTCTCGAGGTCATCGATATAAAGCGGCTCATTGGCTGGATTGTTGCAAAAGAGTCAAAAATTAAGAGACAGGAGTGAGGAATTGCAATGGCAGAATAGCATATTCAAAGATAATCCAGGCGAAATATAAAAAATTTACAGCAGAATAGGAAGTCCCATCATAATTAGGGTTTGAAGTTTTTTCTTTTTACCTTTGCGCTGTTTGGTGAACCAGGAGTAAACATCCGAAGCGAGTTGATCGGCTAACTGGCGGGAGCCGCGACCGCCGGACTCGTTCTCGACGGCGAAAAGAAGAGCTGCCCATCGGGAGAGGATCAAATATATTCCTTCCTTCAATATCATGAGATGATTTGCAGCTGCGCCATTGGCGTTTCGAGGGTCTCCTCCTTCGTCGACCATTCTTACTTGCTTCCCCAAACCACAGAATCCCTGAAAGGTTCTAAGAGCTTGGGAACCCTAGCTGCAGGGAGCGGCCGAACCCAATCAGAGCTCGGATCGGAGAAAAAACGCAAATCTGTTTGGCTTAAAGGGGTTCGGTTAGCATGCCAAAATAGTGTGACAAAGGGATTTGCTTCTCAAGCTCACGAAAAAGTTTCTGACCGCTCGATCTCATATAGATCCAACGGCTTCTATCATGTGGAAGGTTCGATCCGATTTGAACCATTGACCAATCGATGAAGTAGGTTAATAATTAATGGTCTAATTGATTCACCTTAGACACGTGGAAAAATTATTATAATGAACACCTATATATATTGGTATGGTTCAGGCTAACACACGTCTGATCGTACGCTAATCTATTATACGCAGTTGAATTTTGCTATTTAAAATTTTAGATTATGAATTAATCGGAATTTAGGGTATGATACTATAACCTAAACTCTAATGGGTGAACAAAATCATGAGATTCTGATTGATCGAAATATATCAATAATATGTGTGAACGCAGGCCAAATGTACGATAGCCACAAAGCTATTGTAGACAGCCATGGCTCAGTTAAATGCAACTATTCAGTTCCAATTTAACCAGATTAATCGTAAATTGCAAGAGTTAAAATTGCGGGTGGAGATTATAAAATAAATTACTGCATTTATGTTGACCGTTGAGATGAACGCGTGTGGTAGAGATTGTTTGGTTCAACCTAGCGTACGTCAGTCATACATTGTACGACGGTCGAGTTTTACTATTTAGAGCAGAAATTAACCGAAATTTTGGGCATGACACTATACCCTAACCTCTAATGGATAAACCCCAGTCCTTAATTATCTAACCCAAGCCACGAGATTCATTTAATCTAAAAAATAATAACCGACGATTCTGATTCAACGAAATATATTGAAGTGCAAAAACCAAGTGTGAACACAGGCGTACAACGTACGACTGACGTACGCTAGCCTTTGCCATATATATATATATGGTGGCTACTTCCGTGCACTCAGTGCACCCAACACTAAAAGCGTCCATAATACATCAAATTTTGAACTTTCATTAGTACTCCAATATCATATGATGATATGACATAGAATCATAACAAATCAATCCATTACCCTAACCCCTTAACCTTCAATTTTGAATCCCAACCCAAAATCCCAAATTGTAAACCTAAACCCTAACCCTAAATCCCTAAATCCTAAATCCTTCAAATTAAAGTAAATTTCGAATGAATTTTTTTCAAATTCATGTGCTTCTTGTTCATAATATCATAAGCAACAATTGATACCGTTTTGACATGAATCGCATGGTCATAATGACAATTATGAGGCGGGTGCACTGAGTGCACCCGAAAAAGTGGTAGGACCACTTGTGCCACGTCAGGTCTTTATCGCCTTTGTTCAGGCCGTGTAACATAACGGGGCCTTCAACTCCAGTGTTCCACGTCTCGAATCGAGGTCCAACATTCTGAAAAAATCACCAGGAAAATGATGACACATTCACAGTGGTGTGAGTAGTATGTAAGTTGTGCTTATTCTGTTTATCCATGAAGAGGATGACAATTTTCATTCATCTATCTAAAGGGAAACCAAAGTTTAAAGATTACCTGTTGATAAGTTGCTAACGAAGTCACTGTTGGATCAGAGGATAAAATTGCAGTTTCACACAGTTTGATTGCTTTGTGAAGCTCTTTTAGATGGCTGTATTTAGGTTCCCTAATCAGGCCTGGATAAAGAGGAAAACATGCTTTAGCCCAACTATGCAGGACACATGATTTGAATGATCCATATTCTGGACTATTTATCTTACCATACTCATCAATTGGAGCATCATAGTCATAACTTGTTGTGATGAACGGGCCACCAGCAGATCACCCAAAATTCGTGCCTCCGTGATACTGCTAAAAACCAGACAGATCTACATCATGTCAAATGGTAATTTGCAATTATTACCATCAAAGCCCACCACAATCAACTCAAGAAGACAAGTTCATTACTTTGGCAGTTGGAACTAGTTTTCAAAACAACTATCACTTATCTACAATAAATATGTGAAGACAAAATAATAATGCATAAACTAAATGATGTTTATGAATTATAATAGACAAACACACCACATGGAGATTAATGCTCCATTATCATGGAGGGATCCACTTACAGCTACTAGTGGCTAGTGAAAGTCTTCAATTTGAATTATATATATGTATTGGACGTATGGGATGGGAGTAGTGTGTCAGAGAAGTGTGGAGAATTAAAAAAAAAGAAAGGAAAGAAAGAAAGTCCCATGGTATCTGTATCTTTCTCTTTTGTGAGTTAAACATATAAGCCAAAAAGTGTAAGGCTATGTTTGTTTGAGTATTTCTTAAATTGAGTGATTAAACACCAAAAGTTTCCTTTGTGTTGATCCTAATTTCTACCACAATTCCGCTAATCTCCAACAAATTTGGTATCAGAGCTAATACCCTTCTATCCTCTCAAAAATCCCCAAATTTCTAGCCTACCCAATTTTCTCAAAAAGCCATGGCAACAAATTCATCACACACCATGTTTGCTACCTCATCAAATCAAATTCCCATTTTCGATGGAGAATTGTATGAGTACTGGAGTGCCCAAATGGAGCCTATTTTCATCTCTCAAGATCTTTGGGATATCGTCCAAGAAGGCTACGAAGATCCACAAGACGAGGATGAAGATTCCAAGAAACGAGCAGGCAAACAGACAAAGGAGTACAAGGAGAATGCCAAGCAAAATGCCAGCGCCTTGAGAATAATTCAGCAAGCAGTGAGCAAATCGATTTACCCGAGAATCTATGGCATCAAAAAGGCCAAAGAAGCTTGGGATGTCTTGCGTGAACAATTTCAAGGTTCTGAAAAGGCAATCTCTATCAGGCGCCAAAGTTTATGGCGACAGTTCGACAACTTGATGATGAAGGAAACCGACACCATCAAAGACTTCCATTCACGTGTGGCGGAGACAGTCAACCAGATCAAAGCCACCGGTGACGTCATGGAAGAAAGAAAAATTGTGGAGAGAATTCTCCGCAGTTTGTCATCAAAGTTCGAGCATATTGTTGCTGTCATTGAAGAAACCAAAGATTTGGCAAATCTACCAATGAGCGAGTTGATGGGATCACTTGTAGCACATGAGCAAAGAATGAGCCGATTCACCAAACCGCCATTGGAGCAAGCTTTCTCGTCAAAAGTCAACATGACGGAAAGTAAATATGCCAAATCGGAGCAAGGCCAGAGAGGGGGAAACTCACAAGGAAGAGGAAGAGGAAGATCCAATTACAGAGGAAACAACAGACAAAATTATCAACAACAAAGATCGGGCTACACCGGCTCGAGTTGCATAATTTGCAAAAAGACGAGTCATGCAACAAAAGACTGCAGATTCAAGTGCACCAAGTGCAGAATTCAGAACCACTCCCAGAGAGATTGTTGGTTCCAGAACAAGCAAGAAAAAGGCGAGTCAAGCGGCACCAAAAATGAAGAAAGCAATATGGTGGCCTTATCATGCTTGAATGGTGAGCAAAATTCACAGCTTCCCTGGATGGTGGATAGTGGTTGCAGTAACCACATGACTGGAGATCTGGAGTCCTTCACCGACATCGATGACAAATACCGCTCTCAAGTCAAGTTGGGAGACGGAAAGAAGCTAAAAGTGGAAGGAAAAGGCACAGTTGTTGTATGCACAGAAGAAGGTAACAAAACTCTCATCCGAGATGTTTTGTATGTTCCGGAGCTAACTCTCAATCTACTTAGCGTGGGACAACTGATGCTGAAAAATTACAAGCTATTGTTTGATAATGGCGTGTGCGAGATTATCAACAAAGCAGACAATTTCATGGTGGCCAAAGTCCCGATGACTTCCAACAGAATTTTCTCTCTTGCTATGTCACAAAATGGTGAAGTAGCATTCAAGAGTGAAAATCTGGATCAATCCTTCCTATGGCATCTCAGATATGGTCATCTCAACTTCAAAGGTCTCAAATTATTGAGCGAGAAAAATATGGTGGTGGGACTTCCCCAGATCAACAGAGAAGATAAAATATGTGAAGGATGCATATATGGCAAAATGCATCGTTTACCATTTCCAAAGACATCTTGGAGAGCAAAAGCGCCACTGGAGTTGGTACATGCAGACATATGCGGTCCAACTCGAACACAATCACTCAGCGGTAAAAGATACTTTCTACTATTTGTAGATGACTTCACCAGAATGATGTGGGTATTCTTTCTGGAGCAAAAGTCAGAAGCTTTTCCCAAGTTCCTTCAATTTCAAGCAGTAGCTGAGAAGGAAAGCGGCCATCAGATCAAAACACTCCGTACAGATCGTGGAGGAGAATTTATTTATACTCCGTTCATGGAGTATTGCCGCAACAACAGGATAAAAAGGCAGCTGACGGTCCGTTACACACCACAACAAAATGGCGTGGCAGAACGGAAAAACCGCACGATTGTGGAGATGGCGAGAAGTATGCTCAAAGCAAAGAAGCTTCCCAACAACTTGTGGGCAGAAGCGGTCAATACAACAATTTACATCCTTAACAGATCACCAACCAAAGCAGTTCGGAACAAGACACCGATACATGCATGGCACCACAGGAGGCCACAGGTGGATCACCTCAAAGTCTTTGGGTGCATAGCTTATGCACATATTTCTACCCCAAACCGAGACAAGTTTGACCAGAAGGGTGAGAAGCTGATTTTCACCGGCTACAGTGATGAATCCAAAGGCTATCGTCTTTACAACCCAGTAAAGAACGAAGTGGTGGTTTCCCGAGATGTGATCTTCGATGAGATGGCGGAGTGGAATTGGGAAAATCCAATTTCTCAATCTCCACCAAGTTATGAAATTCTGGAGGACTCAGTAACTCCAGAAGACCCCAGCAACAACCCAGATCCAGTTGCTAGTCCAGAAAGAAATTCTACACCTAGCCCAGAAGAGGACGACTTCAGAGACGTCGTAACAGACTCGGATTCTCCTCCGTTGAGAACAAGGTCTTTGCGAGAAATTTATGAAACAAGTCATGTTGCATATTTTTCTTGTGAGCCTCAAGTCTTTGAAGAAGCAGCCAAAGATGAAGTTTGGAATGAGGCGATGGATGCAGAAATTTCTATGATCGAAAAAAATAAGACATGGGAGCTTGTTGATCAACCGGAGGACAAGCCGGTTATAGGTCTCAAATGGATCTATAAGATCAAATTTAATGAAGATGGTACTATCCAGAAGTACAAAGCTCGACTGGTGGCAAAGGGCTATTCACAACAGCCCGTTATTGATTTTCACGAGACATATGCACCAGTAGCAAGGATGGAGACCATCAGAACAGTTCTCGCTCTAGCTGCTCAACTGGAGTTACCAGTATACCAGCTGGATGTCAAATCAGCATTTCTGAACGGAGAACTGGAAGAAGAAGTCTATGTGGAACAACCACGAGGCTATGAGAAAAAAAGGAGAAGAAGACAAAGTCTATCGTCTCCTAAAGGCTTTATACGGGCTGAAGCAAGCACCGAGAGCCTGGAACAGCTGAATTGATCGATTTTTTCAACAAAACGGATTTCAAAGAAGTCCGAGTGAAGCATCTCTCTACATCAAAAAGGGAGAAGGAAAAGATTTTCTAATGGTTTGTTTATATGTTGATGACTTGATTTACACAGGTACAAATCAGCATATGATCGAAGAATTCAAAAGTACCATGATGAAAGAATTCGAGATGACGGACTTGGGACTCATGAAGTATTTTCTTGGGATCCAAGTGAAGCAGTCGCCTGGAGAAATATTTATTTCACAGGAGAAGTACACCGAGGATATGCTCAAAAGATTTCACATGGCAACGTGCAAACCAATCTCAACACCGATGGCGTTAAACGAGAAATTACAACGCAATGATGGAGCTGAAAAAGTCGATGGAAAGCTATACAGAAGTCTCGTCGGGTCACTCATTTACCTGACACATACCAGGCCGGATATATGTCATTCAGTAAGTCTTATATCAAGATTTATGAATGAACCTAGCAAACTTCATTTTGCAGCAGCCAAAAGAATTTTGCGGTATCTTCAAGGTACAAAGAAATTGGGCCTGATGTACAAGAAAGAAGCAGAATGCAAGCTGGCCGGATTTACCGATAGTGACTGGGCAGGATCACTTGATTATCGAAAAAGCACATCGGGGTACATATTCTGTTTGGGTTCAAAACCCATTTCATGGAGTTCGAAGAAGCAGAAGACTGTGGCTCTATCTTCAGCGGAAGCAGAATATATCGCAGCTACTGATGCAGCATGCGAAGCGGTATGGCTAAAAAGATTAATTTCTGATTTGCAGCAAAGTGAAAATGGTCCAACCATTATTCACTGTGACAACATGTCAGCCATAGCCATGACAAAGAATCCAGTATTTCACGCAAGATCGAAGCATATCGAGTTGCGTCATCATTTCATCCGAGACCTCGTCAACGAAGGACTAATCGTGATGGAATTCATCAACACCGACGACCAGCCAGCAGATATTATGACAAAGGCGGTCACCCGTGAGAAATTCGAGAAATTCAAGAAGCTACTCCAAATTGCAAATTAAGAGGGGGTGTCAAATGGTAATTTGCAATTATTACCATCAAAGCCCACCACAATCAACTCAAGAAGACAAGTTCATTACTTTGGCAGTTGGAACTAGTTTTCAAAACAACTATCACTTATCTACAATAAATATGTGAAGACAAAATAATAATGCATAAACTAAATGATGTTTATGAATTATAATAGACAAACACACCACATGGAGATTAATGCTCCATTATCATGGAGGGATCCACTTACAGCTACTAGTGGCTAGTGAAAGTCTTCAATTTGAATTATATATATGTATTGGACGTATGGAATGGGAGTAGTGTGTCAGAGAAGTGTGGAGAATTAAAATAAAAGAAAGGAAAGAAAGAAAGTCCCATGGTATCTGTATCTTTCTCTTTTGTGAGTTAAACACATAAGCCAAAAAGTGTAAGGCTATGTTTGTTTGAGTATTTCTTAAATTGAGTGATTAAACACCAAAAGTTTCCTTTGAGTTGATCCTAATTTCTACCACAATTCCGCTAATCTCCAACACATCAAACCATATTCAAGAAGAAATGAATAATAGTTTCCAACCTAGAACACGAAAGCAAGGCAAAAAAACCAACCAACCATGTAGTAGTTAATAAATGAGACACCCTTTTGAATGAACCGAGCAACTCCAAATGCCAGGTCTTCAACTGGTCTTTGGTGATTCGGACCTCCAAACTCAGTAAACCTTCCAACCATGGTTAAGGAGCACAAATTCAGCAGAATTATGGCTCAAGAAGAAGAGGAATAGGGGAAGAAGGACCAAACACTTACCAGCCAGTCCAAGCCTCAGTCCATAGTGCAGGCTTGTAAGGCTTGTTGGGAGTAAGATCATCACAGTAGAAGCCATTACATGCATTTATCTATAGCAAGAAGATTCAAAGAAGAGTGTAGATCAACTAATTAAGATCCACCATCAAGTAAAAAAAGGGGGAAATTCATATCATCCCGGGATGTTTTGAGAGATTAAATTAAACCCACCACAGGATGAGGAGCATCATCTTCCTTGCACATAACCCATGGAACTCCAGTGTCTAATCCAACAGCCACTTTAGCAGCCCAGTTCATGTAAGCTTGACCAGCTGCACCATAAGCCTTCATATCTGGTCCATACTCATAGCACTAAAGAATATCTCATTCCAAGAAGGTATCTCATTCCATCGTTGATCGGTAAGCAGCCGTCACCAAGAAGAGGCATTGAGCTTTCTGCAAAGAATTCAGTAGCCGTCTCAGAGGAAGCAAATAAGCAAGGTTCGAACTCTAAAAAGGGAATAAAGGCAAACTAAATCTAAACTGGATCTGGAAAGAAGAAGCCCATTAACACCAAACTAATGAGAGAGCTTTTCTAAAACTTTCCGCAAATAAATTAGAAAATTGGTATTCTGCACCAACAACCTAAGCATATTATTTACCCTTTAAGTAGCTTCCTGCGGAAGTTCTGTCAACCATTCCCCCCAACCTTTTAAGCAGCTGCCTCCTGTCTAAGAGACTCAGCCCAGGCGCCCACATGGCAGAGGGTGGAAATCAGCATGCGGCAGGCGATCGTCTGACTAGCGAAAGAGAAGAAAAACAAAACCAGTCAGCCGAAGAAGAAGGTATTGTCGAGGAGAATGGAGATAAAAATGCAGAATCTGATATTGAACCTGACGATGAAATCATCGAAGATGAAGAGACTGAAGTTCTGAAAAATCTTACGGCCGAGGACGTTATTGGTCGAAAGTTCAACAGTACTGAGGAGGCTTACAATTTCTACAATAAGTATGCAAGAGCTTGGGGTTTTTCGGTGAGACATGAGAAGAAGACTAAATAAAAAAGGGGGAAACAACTTCTCGACTTTTTGTTTGTTCTTGTGCGGGGACAAAATGCAAAAGTAAAGACGAGCTACAACAACCTTCACGATTAAATACAAGATTTCAGTGTAAAGCTAGGCTGCGTGTTCAGCTGGACAAGTCAGATTCAAAGTACATTGTTGACACTTTCTACATCGACCATACCCATAATCCGATTCGTCAAAAGTCGGTGCATCATATGAGATCACATCGAGGCTTAGATGAAGCGACTAAAGCTAAAGTTAGATACCAACGTGATGCAGGTATGAAAACCGCTGACATCATGAATCAGCATGTGCACCAGGCTAGAGGCTATGATAAAGTGGGACACACCAAAAAAGATTTACATAATTTTGCCTCTAAAGATCGTGGGGAAAGGATCAGCGAAGGAGATGCTGCCACGGCAATCACATACCTTAAGTCTAAAATCAGCGGAGACAACCACTTCGTTTTGGAACCTACTTTTGATGAAGATAAGCGACTTCATAGCATATTTTGGGCAGACATCATGAGCGTAGCAGATATGGCGTGCTTTGGAGATTTGCTAGCATTTGACAGCACGTACAAGAAGAATGTTTATAACATGCCTCTAGTTGTTTTCTCAGGTGCACATTTCTACCTTATCGTTACTACATTCATTGATGCAAATTATCATTCTGCTCTATTTTTGGTACATCTGTTGTACTTAATTTGTTGTCTATTAAAATATGCAATTGGATTGTATGTTTTTAATGTACAAGCAAAACTAAGGGGTTGTTTGGAAGTTGTGATTCTTTAAATTGATGTATTGGGTCAATTAGTGTATTGTCATTTAATGTATTGAATATTAGACAAATACATTGTTTGGAGGTTTAAATTTTGTGTTTGTTGTAAGGCCACAAAAGTTAATTTTGAGTGATTGTAAGGAATCTCAACAAAAAGTAGAGATTGATAATCCCTCAATTTTGAGGGATTGTGGTGGGACCTCCAAAAAGGTAATACATGTATTGTAGTTTAATGTAAGCAAAAAAAATGACTTAATCTTACAAATACATGAATTAGCTCAAAACATCATTTGAAATCACAACTTCCAAACGACCCCTAAGTCTTTCGCTGCTGTAGTAAAGTTTGGCAGTGCTCCTCAAAACCTGCTTTCAACAAAATTTCAGCTAGAACGATAATTTGCATCAATGAAAGTTTGGCAGTGCAGAATTTTTCCTCAAAACCAGCAACTTCTCAATTTTGGTATTCAGCTTACATACATTGGTTTTGGCACTAGGTATCAATCACCACAAAAAGAGTTGTATATTTGGATGTGCTCTGCTAGCTAACGAGACTGAGGAAAGTTATGACTGGGTGCTAGGGGTACTGAAGGAAGCAATGGGGGACAAAGAACCTCGTACGGTTGTAACAGATGGCGACAAAGCAATGCGCAATGCCATTCAGAAAGTCTTTCCAGACGCAACTCATCGTTTGTGTTCATGGCATATTGCCAAGAATATTGTGAGTCGTTTCAAAAACCACAAAGAGTTCGAACCTGAATGGTAGAAGTTTGTATATGCTGATTATGAGTATGATGAATTTGAAGAAAAATGGGCAGCAATGGTGGAAAAGTTGTCGCTGCATAGTTCTAAATGGGTATCGGATTTATTTGGAAGGCAAGGGAAATGGGCTTACACGTGCCTACGGACTTACTTCTTTGCAGGATTGTCAACAACGTCAGTTTGTGAAGGACTTAACTCACATCTTGCAAGGTTTGTAACTGAGGACCATAATCTACTCGAGTTTTTTTATCCATTTTGATCGTTGGATAAAAGAACTGAGGGAAATTGAGGTGAAATTAGATTTTTAATCCAGCTTTGGTTTACCTGAGATAAAACATACAGCCTTTAGGACTCTTGAAGAGAGTGCTGCTAGGGAATTCACCAATAAGATATTTGGAAAATTTCGAAAAGAGCTAGGCAAAGTTGAGGGTATCAGGAAGAGAAATGTTGAGATAAATGGAGTGTGGCACAATTACCAGGTGACGTTATTTGGCACGGAAAAGATGTTCAATGTCAGTTTCGATGTTGAAACCAAGAAGATGAAGTGCAGTTGTGCTAAATTTGACTACATGGGAATTCCATGTTGCCATATGCTCTCTGTGCTAAAGGTAGAGAACATACCGACAGTGCCAGAAACTTTGGTATTAAAAAGATGGACAAAGAATCCAAAGACAATAGACGACATGCAAGAGCAACAGAGTATCGATGATCCTGGTCTATTCAGTGTTAGGTACGGGATGCTGCAGTACATCAACTTTCGCTTTTGCTTTCTAGGGGCAAATTCATCCGAAACTTATAGGTTTGCACAAAAAGGAATGGATAATTTGTGTGACCAGTTAGCTACGATGCAACAGAATCCTATTGAGGGAGGCACGATCCCTATACCAGAGGAATATAAAGGAGTATTAGACTCATTGAAGGTGCCATATAAAGGTGGTAAAATTGGAAAAGGAAACTCTGCTGGTAAACAGAAACGAAAGTGCGGTAAGTGCGGAAGAGATGGCCATTACCAAAGCACTTGTACTAATTCTCCCAGCAACTCACATGATGATGAGCCAACTAACCAACCGATAAAGGTAAATTTTCTGGACAAATCTTGTGTATTTAATTAGTTAGTAACATTTATTCTTCTATAAGTATGGTACTAAAACCTAACTTTTTGTTAACGTAGAAGAAGCCAAAAAATAGTGCTACCAAGCAGGCTGAAAGTCAGTTCGATAACAACAATCCTGGCCAAAGAAAGGAAGCAGAAGATGTTGATGGTTTGGACGACGAACCTCAAAGGGTAACATTTGTGAAATCTTATGCGCTTACGAAAAGATTTCATTCATCCATGATTTTGGTTGTTACAACATTTCTATTTTATGTTACAGAAGATTCCGACCACAAGAAGTGCTACTAAGAGAAAACAAAGCAGCATCAACAAGTGATTTGGAAAAGTGCATCGCTATAGATTCCGAAGGATATTGTTCATTTAAGTTTACGGGTTTCTTTTAGTTAAGTTTGATTGTTGCAAAATGATTTGATCACTGTACGTTATGGATGGTTTAAATTCTATTTAACATTGTGGATTTTTCAGCTAAAGGTGGAACTGGTCTTACTTGGAATCATCCAAATGTGATCTTCATTTCATAGTCTAATTACTGTTCATAGTCTAATTACTGTTCAAACAGGAAACCATGAGTAAAAAGTAGTAGGAATCTCACCTTAGCCACGGTATAAACGCCAAACAGACTAGTGTCCTTGTAGTTGGTGTTCATTGCCATCACATTGTCAGCAAGCGCATCCTCTTCTTCCAACTTTGCATACTGTAGGTGCAATGGTTTCAATAATCAGATTTGCGTACTGTCAGTCGATGCTCTTTCTCTTCTTCCTCCTGGTAATCATCTTCATCTTCATTTTCTTCTACTTCTTGTGTTGGCTGCTTTTTCAAAGTTTCTTTCTTGGAGAGTTGAGCTCGAAGCTCCCTAATTTTCCGCTTCTTCGAATTTAGAACTGCAAGGAACTGGACCAGAAATGAGGGAATTAGTTATACTATGAAATGCTAATGTGATGGATATTGAACAACTCAATCACTACAAAAGATCACTGGACATGCTTCTTTTCCTAAGTTTTGGTCTCTGTCAAACCTCATTTAACAAACACCACAGTAATTATAATAACAACCTAGAACCAACATAATCAAACACCAAAATCCATTATTCCATTACGGGCAAAACATGCGTCATTTATTCTCACATAGAAACAACGTCACCATTGACTGCTACTCATGAGTCTTATCTCAGTCCTCATTAAGTATAATGATCAACTTTATAACAGGAGAGTGCATGATCAACAATTAATCATTTTCACTAGCTTATCAGTAATGCTTAGCTTCCTTTATGATTTCAAAACCTCTAGTTTATAGTTTTTTATTTCTTGTCTCAGTTTGCTGCTAATTATTGGTTAGCTTCTTCTATTTGATGCAGGGGAGAAGAGTCGGCTGTGATGGTTCCCATGTCCTTAGTTCAGTCATTCCCAACTGCACATTAAACATCTCAAGGAGAAGTGAGGAACAAGGTCCCTAATATACTAGGACAGACCATTAGTAGTAGTACTATTGACCATGGAAGATATACAAAAAGAAAAGTAAGTGAAGTGAATAGAAACATAAAGCAACAAGAACTCACAGTATCGATGAACCAAACATTGAATTAAACCCATGAAAGCATGTTGGTCCCTCACACATTCGATCTCCGCTGCTATTCTGAATCCTCTATCGCTCGCTCTTGAGCCACCAAACCTTATTGCAGCTTCCCATCACCATGTCCAGCACACGAGCTTCATATTTATATATTCTGTATACCACGCAGGAAACGAACCCACCTGATTGATGTGTGGAACTAGTCTTGCAGTGATGCCTAAAACAACTCTGACAATTGGAACTTCTCGTCCTACATTTGTACAAGATAACTGCTCTTTCTGTCTCTGGGTAGCAAGTTTAAGTACAGTCCCTCATACATCCAATCTCCTTCTGCAATTCCAGTTCCTTCACTGTAAGAGCCTCGACTTCAGATTCCACTTCTCTTCCTGCTGCTGGTAGTGCGGATGCAGATGG